GTTATAACAAACTATAATAACGAACGAACGTTAACTACAACAATACGTCTCTCTCTGACTGCAGTTCAATTACTCACTGTCTCTCCACACATTACATTCCCATCTTTTATATAACAGCGTATCCCAATTTCTAGTAAGAACTTGAACATTCGCCAAAGTACATGATAGTTCTAGAAACGTTGCGTCACGGTGGTCATGTGACTCGATGACGCAACACTATATTATACATAAATATCTAAAGAGGCCTTGTTTCCAGGCGACATGAGATCGAACACATCAGCAGATATCATACTTATCACCGAAACAACGCTCTACAACTATCATTCATTAAAAATGACAGGATACCAAGTAGAGAGAATAGACAGACTAAACAAGGAATGCCCAGAACGGGGCATATTACTCCTATACAAAAAACAATACATATAACATATTGGTGTGGTGCACATATTGTCAGTAAACAGATTCGGTTTTGGGCCGCGAAATAAATACACCTGGATGTAAGATAGGAGTACCCCATCTGCATAAATGTATTTTAGAATTATTATCTCAATATTGATTGACCCTTAAATACCCAAGCTACGTATTCAAAATGTATTGTTACGTCTCTGTGTTCGTTTGTTCATTTTCCGTAAAAATACTTTCCGAAGAAACTTTAGCGATACAAGTCCTTTCTTAAATAAAACTAGTTTGCTCTTTCTTGATACAACTTTGCAATACAATTAATTTCCACAGTCACGTTATAATTTGAACAAACGCTATAATTCACAACAAACGATTCACGCGCTTGACTCAATTGTCCATCTCTATCTCTGTCTGCAAATCAATTCCATTGTTGCCGTCACTTCTTGGCGGTCTTATATACAAGAATACCGCACATCCAGTAAACACTGGAGCATTCACGCACCTTCGAGAATATCATGACGCGTTACTAGCGTTACGTGACTTCCGCTGTCGTAACACTGCCCCTTCCTTAGTATGGTTCATCCCGAACAATAGCCACTTACATTAAACCAATAGATAGTTAACAATAACTTGATTAAATGTACAGAATTTACAAACACTACAAACACAAAATTAGAATTCAACAAAGTCTCTTAATTTTACGGGACGTATCTTCTTCAGTACTGGCTTCTGCTTCACGTGAGGTTAATCTGCTCCATCAGGAATCGTCCTATCATCGGTAATGGTCACATCAGTGGTAGTAGCTTCATGAAGTGCTTCACTGTTTCCCTTCTCAAAACCGAGTACAGTGTCTTCTTCAACGGTGGCCTTTCCAGGTGACACGTCTTGAGAGGCGTCTTTTGTTCTGTTGTTCACTTTGTTCCAACTGAAATGCCCTGGACCGTGATAACACCAAAGCCTGTTGGCATGCACCACCTTTGGCTTACCTCGCCGACCACATATGATTTGGAAAGTCACGTCTGAGAGACGATCCACTATGTCATATGGGCCTTCCCATGGAGAAGACAACTTAAGAGACTTCCCTTTGGTCTTCCTGGGATTATACAACTACACCTTGTCTCCTGGTACAAAGCTGACTTCAGTAGATCTCTTATCATAAGATAACTTCATCGAATTAGCAGACGTTTTCAAGTTTGAATGCACTTCAAGGTGAATATCATTCATCCTTTCCGATAACACTTTCACAAACTCTGACACATTTTCAGGCAACTCTTCATAAGGTAGGCATCCTGTTAACAGATACACTGGCAACCGAAGTTCCCGACCAAACATCAACTTTGCTGGAGTGTATCCAGTGGTTTCATTCTCTGCTGTCCTACAGGCCATCAACAGTGGAGGGAGTAAGACATCCCAATCATCTTGGCTGCTATTATAAAACTTTGCCAATTCCTGTCCCAGTGTCCAGTTGTACTTTTCTACAATCCCATCGGACTGTAGGTGAAGTGGCGTTGTCCTGGTCTTTCGTATGCCAAACAACATTTTCCGTAAAAATTGTTTCAGAAACTTTAGCGATACAAATCCTTTCTTAAATAAAACTAGTTTATTTTTCTTAATACAACTTT